TGGGCACAACTTCGTACATGTGAATCCACAGAAGTTGTTATCTCAACTGCTACTACTGTTGCAAGATGCCCTGCTGGTAGCTGCCCATCCTGCATTGACATCATTGTTTCAGTGGGGAAATGAATACAAAAGATCAAAGGTGAATTAGGTAACTGGTAAAAAAGAGGGTGTTGTCTGAAATAAGATTCTCTGCTACAGGTCAAAATAACTCACATCTGTGTGGTTGCGGAGAAAGTCCTAATTAGTTGAGACATCTGCCATGACCCATTTCACCCTGAGTTCGACAGGCAGCTGATGCCTGGTTGCAATTCTTGTAACTGAGCTGAGACCATCGATGCCCACAGGCCATCGGGAATGGCGAAGATGGCCCCGCCTGAGTCCTGACAGCTCAGGTTCTGCTGCCTGTGAATGTGGTTTCTCTGGGCCATGTTTCTGTGACTCAAGACTCTCCCTGGGAGATTAAATAATAATAGTTACATTTCATCGAGCACAGGCATATAGTTCCCATTACAGGAAATAACTAGGAGATTGATTACTTAAAATTTCCAAGGGTGTGAATTAATCTGAGGGCATATCTGAAAAAATTATCGGTGTGATGTTAAATATTCATTCATGTTTTATTTGCTCTTTTGCCTCCAAGCTGATTCTAAGGTGAAATGTGCCCCTGGTCCTGGTGTCCACATAAGAGACAAACAAGCCACCAAGCTCGGCCTCCGACTCAGCCACCAAGTCATTTCATAGCAGCATCGCTCAAACAGAAGAAAATAATCTTCTGAAGTCTGCATTGCAGTCTAAAGGGTTACATAAATAAATTGTATTCGTTGCTGATTTACTTATTAGAAGTTCTAAGAAGAACCCAGGCATCCTCTGAATTCAAACATTCAGACATATTGTCAGGAGTACATGCACACTATTGGTGGGAGTCTAGAGCTCCTTCTATATTTACCATAAAGGATAAACATGGCATAAAATACTGAGAGGAAAATGTAAGAGCAAAGGGCACAAGAAATGATTTTCAGGACCATCTTCAAAGACTAGACACAATCTGTAATGTGAAAATCTTTAATAGCTTTATACAATGGAATATTACCCAGTAATCACAAAGGATAAACTCATGCCTTTTGCAGCAATTTGGGTGGAGCTGGAAGAGGTTATCCTCAGTGAAAAAAGCCAGAAAGAGAAAAATACCCAGTGGTCTTACTTCTGGGAGAAATGTAGAGAAGCCAAATAAGGATTAGAAAAGAGAAGTAACTATAACAAATTAAAATAAAACTCATCAGGTAACTATAGATCAGAGACATTCTGTAGTGGAGAAAGAAGAAGGATCAAAACAGGATTCAGAAGGACACAAGGGACTATGGTAATGGTGCACCAGTGAATTGGTGGTGGGATTTCATGAGTAATCATACATTGTACAAAAATGAAGGATAATGTAGTGAATATATTGGAAAAAATTTTAATTTGAAATATTTTCAAAAGCTCTGAGAAGGCTTTAAATGTAGTTGCCACTTGAAATTCTTGTGGGACTATATCTGTTCTCTGAAAACTGATTTTAAGTTAAAAATGCATGACTGAGAATGTACTAGAAGAAAGGTCCTCGGATACTTGTTTCCAGTGACACCAACAGTTGTATTTACAATGCAAGCCCCTGATCCAGACCACAGAAGAAACAACCAGCCATTGCCACTGCCTGTCTGCGATGAGCAGGTGTGACTTCCGCTTGGCTTCTGGGCAGGGTCACTGCTCTTACTTAGCTCTGGGGTTTTTGTTCAGCTGTTACTATCACTTCAGACACAGTGCGTCCCTGAGGGCACAGAAATACTTGGCTGAGTCATCCAATTGTAAGGACACAATTTTGAGGGAGATGGCTTTGTCTGCCTTCTGGAACGTTATAGTATAGCGACCCTCTGCTGCGTTTTTGGCAGAAGCAGAATACTGAGAAATAATATAACTCATCTTTCCATCAGGAAGCTGCTTGTACCAATACAGGGAGTAGTAACTCCAACTTGTTTCATAGCGACACTTCAGGATGACTTCTGACCCCTCTTGTTTGGTTGTAGTTGATTGATCTTGAATAACTTTCTGGGCCACACTGGATTCTGTAGCGAAAATCAGAAAACTGAGCTGACACAGAGAATAAAATATTATAAAATTAGACCATTTGTACAAAGATAAAGCACATTGAAATCATCCCCTGCCTGCTCTCCCCAGGTCTCCACCTCACCCATGACAAGTACCATGTGCCCGGTGCTGTCCCTTCACCCTCCCACCCCCGTCTGTCCCCGGACCTACCAGAGCAGGTGAAGGCCACCAGTGCCCACAGCAGGCTGGAGGGCGCCATGGGGCGTGTGTGCCTGACACGGTGGTAGTTGTGCCTCCAGCTGGGACCTCAGTGTCTTTGAGAGACTGGAAGGGCGTTTATGTAATTTCTGGATTTGCTGCTGCTCCCCACACAGGAAATAGGTTTCTCAGGTTGCATTGTCACCCCGTTATGTACAGAAGTAGAAAGACTCTGCCTCACCACAAACCTGAACTCTGTCTACTTCTCTTCCCTAATACTTATATGAGTCTTTATGTGAGAAAACAATTAGTATTATGGGTTTGAACTGAGGGTTAATTGGAATGAATCCATTGATACACATTGATGGTATTCAGTAGACCGTAAGTGGAAAAATATTGGGGCCAGATTGAAAATAGAATGTTTATGTAGCTGGCACCTTCTTGTATCTATTGAATGGTCATTCTCTTGCCTTCCACTTATTTCTCACTATCCAGAATCTAATGAACTTTTAAAAAAATTCAAAACACTCTGTTTTCTCAGGGAGGACTGTCCAATTCCAAGCAAATACTGTGTGTCTTCCTTCTTTTTATGGGTATTACAATCAATGAGGCTGCTTCAAAAAAATCATTGAGTAAATGTCAGTCTTTCTAATTTCAGACTTATCCAATTGTTCATGTGTTTATGAAGTTATAACACCAGTAACATGTTACTCTTGAAATCTGACACTGGTTGTTTTTTATTTGACTCTGAATGCTCAACATGATAGATTCCTTCACAATTAGGTTGCCAAAACTGTGTCACCTGTCCTGGGATGGCCCTGTAGTCATCTTTTTTTTTTACCCCATTGATCCAATATGTTCAGTATCACTTATTAAATTTCATAATTGGTTCTTTTTTACACTTCTCAATTAAATCTCATTAAGCAACCTCATCTTCCCAATACAGCATTAGCTATATTTCATCCCTACCAATGTGATGTCAGCCACGCTCAGGACATGTAAACCACACAGGTTGTGAGCTGAACAGTGTGGCATATTACATGATCATGTGCTAAGTACTAGTCAATCTTCCATTGTGTTCATTGTTTCAGTGAAGAAATTAATAGAAAAGGATAAAGAGCTGAAAGAGAAAGGACAGACAGGGTCTATGAGACAACAGTATAGAAGATTCTCTACTAGGGTCACAGTAACTCATGGCCGGCAGTGCAGGGACAGAGCTCTTATCAGTTGAGACACCCAGCTGACCCACGTGGCCTCCTGCAGCAAGCACTGGGGTGTTCTGGACTGCAAGTTTTGTCACTGAGCTGAGGCCATCAATGCCCACAGCACCTGGGGACAGCGTTTCCCCTGCCCATGCCCTGCCCCGTGTCCTGACAGCACAGCTGCAAGTTCCTGCAGCTCAGACGGTGCGGCCTCCAGCAGTAACTCAACGTGAGTGAGCGCGATCCACCAGTAGATGGAAAGAGAGCAAATGACGGCCAGAGCTTGTGCGACTGTCTGCAGGCCCCCGTTAGTGCGTATTTTGAGTGAAATGTGGTCTCTGCTGGGCCAGGTCTAAATGAGTCAGGACCCGCCTGGGACATGTGGCCGTTCTCTGTGGTTCAGTAGCAATAGGTGACATCTGGCAAATAAGAGGCATTTAGTTTGTATTAAAAGAATTATTAAAGGTGACCGATTCCTAAAAATTTCCTGTTTGGTGAATTAATCTGTGATGAGAACTGAAGGCACTCCTGAAATGAATTTGTAGGTGAGATGGGAAATATTCATCTGCATTTGGTAGTTCTTTGCCTCCAAACTGAAACAAAGGAGAAAGATGCACCCTAGTTCTTGGCTTCTACATAAGAGACACCAGAGTCCCCACACCCTCCCTCCTGCACCAAACAATAGAAATCAAAATAAGCTGACTTGTGTCTTGCCTCCATGTTGAACTAGAATTTCCTGGCAATGTAATGAAATATTCATTGATGATATAACTTGATATTTAATTTATTAGAAACCCTAGGAAAGGAGTCTGTGAGTCCACTGGGTGTCAATATTCTGCCACACTATTGCTATGAGCACACAAATGTTTGGTGAGATTCTATGACTCTGCTGTAGTTGTCACAAAAACAAATGTATGTCCAATCATTTGTTTATCAATGATAATATTCAAAACTATTAATAGCAATAATGTTTCCAGAATAGAAGTGTGTCCTTTTATGAACAGTGATGGAGTTCATTTCTTTCCCACTTTTATCCTGAAAGTAAATCTGGAGAAGGGCTTCAGGTCAAATACTCAAATTCCAAAAATTTCATATTGGTGGAGAAAACTGAGTATGTGGGCAATGGTCTTCTAACTGTCCTCGGTTCCTTACAGAAATCTCCAAACACAGAATCACCACTTCCTAGATCTTCCCTAATCTTCCCTAATCTCTCTCCCTCTAATCCTTGAGTGTAGTTATTCCCTTACCCTGACCAAGCATCCTAACAAGAACTTTATTCTATTTTAACCCTGCATATCTCAGTGCAAGAAAGCTACAGCAAACAGATAAACTTACTATTCCAAAGTACATGCTTATGCATAATTGTGTATAATTTTAAACCTATATTCAGTGACCAGGCTGTACTTTTACGTCCAGGGACTATAAGTGGAAGTTTGTATGTTTGGGCCACTTTCACCCATTTCTTCCATGTTCTCATGCCCCACCAAAGCAACCACGAATTTGTTCTGCGTACCAATGACATTTGTAGCTTTTCCAAACTTTGACATTTAAGTGAGATCATACACCATTGCTTTCTGTCTCATTTATTTTGCTTAACACAGTGCCTTCAAGGTTCATCCATGTTTTCACAAATGTCACATTTCCTCCTTGTAAGGCTGAATGTTGTCCTTGTGAGTGTGTGTGTTTGTACACATCTGAGTGTCTGCACACGGGTCTTAATTTCTATTTGTACAATAATAGACAGTTAGGTTGTCTCTTTAGAAGCCCTCTGAGATGCTACCCGCTGCTGCAAGTACATGTTAGAGATGTTGTTCAAAGTTAGAAAAGGTCTGTGTCATTTCACAACTATAAAAGGTGGGAACAATGGAAATTAGTTTCCAAGATTGCGATATTTAAATTACATAATGGATGAAACTACTTTAGTGCTGACATATGATTAAGTAAAAAAAAAAGTAAAATCAGATTCCTTTTCTCTGTTGTCCAAGTCTGGGTGCTGTCACTGCGTTTTCTTCTTTCCCTGTCATCTCAGGGAAACTTGCTCAATCACCTGTTTCCCTGGGGATACTCATTATTTCTCCTATCCTCCTGGGTCCCTTCCTCTGACTGCATTCACACACCAAGTTGCAGAGAAGACACACATGGCTATAAGGACTGCTAATATTAAATGTTTTGTCCAATATTTAATATGTTTATTTATTATGGGTATCGTATTTCAGAATTTGTGCTTCAAAATTTTGTCTTTTTTCCAACATTTTCTTATTGATTTATATGAGGTGATTTTTTTTATTTTTTAACATGCTCTGCCTTGAGTCTTGTTCCACATGTGCATTTCAGGTGCAGTTTCACTGTGTGCTTTGAGTTTCCACATTCGTAGCTGTGACTTTTAACAAAGAACTTAATATTATACTTTCTTTTCATAGGTGGTAGGTAAAGTGTAAATGGGCTTAATTTTGTACTTTCAAGATGGTTTCCCTTGGTGACTTCTATCACTATGATGACAAGTCAGGCATTATTCTTGATTATGTTTCAAAACATGAGGTGTCAACTTTCTCTAGATAATTGAAAAGATTTAATCCCCAAGAAATCAACATTTTGAATATATTGCGGGTTTTTTTTTAAATCCTTTAGTTCACAGAGTAGTTAAAATATGGTTATGAATGGTAAAGTGTGAGTAGTGGTAAGAACTAGCCCAAAGGTAGCTGAGTGAATGCGACCTCTTTGTGGGGAGGGTTAGCTTGTTATTATTGGCAGTGAACTGGGGTAAACTTGTATTATGTCAAATAACTTCACAGAAATATAATTCCCAGAATTTCTTTCTTGTTCTGTTGCAGGTTGATGTTGTCTGCACAGGGATTAGTGCCAGAGCTGAGGGCAGCTGTGACGCAGCAGTCAGGTTTTGTCTTCTGCAGGCCAGAGCCGGCTCCAGGCAGGTGGCGACTCACCTGTGCTGCCCCTGCTCTGCCCCTCAGCTCAGTGCTGTCCACAGCCCCACCGTCATCAGGTGTCCTTCCTCAGTCTGGGCCAGGTCTGCATGTGGCAGGATGCAGGTGATACCCATTTCACCTGAAGCTACCTAACCCATGTTTGAGGAAGTGAGAGACAAGTTGTCCTTTGTCTTTCTGGTTTCAACGACTTCATAGACTCAAGCATATGCTAAGAGGCAGGTTGTGCATGGTTTGTCCACATCCAGGATTCCTTACAATAGTTGTGCTAAGAAATTTATAGTAAATGCAGTGGCTAATGTCCGTATAAATAGAAGATCTTGGGCCCCCCATGGTGGCGCAGCGGGTGAAAGCACAGCACTAAGAAACTAAAGCCACTTCCACTTGAGTTCGATCCCAGCCTGGAGATGACCCACTTGGCATGGCAGACCTCTCCTGACTGACTGCCCTCTGTCCCCCTCACTATTGTGCTTCATCAGCTGGCCTGGTCTGCTCCCAACTCTCTCTCTGGTGAAGCCTTTCACCACCAGTGCACATCGGGCCTGCACCCCAGCTCTGTTTGAATAAATAAGTAAATCTTTTTTAAAAAAAGAGTTTTGTGTAAATTCTGTTACTAGTTCCAGCAATTGCATGAGGGGTAAACCCTGTGACTCAGCAATCACTATGGTTCTGCTTCTCTGAATATATCTTAACTGAAAAGCCTAAAGGAAACAGCTAAGGAAATGGTCCGAATGACTGTTTCGGTGTGAGCATTTTTAGTGCAGCTGCCACTTGGAATCATAATGGGGCAATTATTTTCAACATTGGACAAATATGCAAATGCTCAGTACCACTGACTTTAAGTGAAGAAATAAGACTGAGAATGTATTAGAAGAACATTATTCTTGACACATTTCCAAATGACATAAAAGGAGATT